CTGGGCATTTACACGGGTCTCTGTGCCCTCTACTGGTAAGCGGAAGGCGTCCGTGACAATGAATGTGTTGGCGGCGACGTATCCCTGCATGAGTCCCATGACTTCTAGGTTTCCTCCGGAGCGCGCATGCATTACCATTTTTAACAGAGCGACGGCCGAAATGCGTATGTGTTTGAAGTAATGTGGGTCTTTAGACCAGGGTTTTGCGGCTGTGAGGGCGGCGTGGGCAGAGGGGTTGTAGTTGTAGAGGGCATCACGCTGCGGATCGATGAGTTGAAGGGAATTTTCAAACTCTGTGATGGTTTATTTTTAGTTAATAATGATTTTTGATACTTTTTCTTACTTCTCCACCTTGCTTAAATTAAATTATATACAAAGCAGAGCGGAATATACCCCAAGATTTCATGCCTGCCTCCATGGTCGGTCGAGGCTCACTAGGAGCTCAGGATTGAGGCTCTAGTCGGACTCTTATGTAGGATATGTCATCGGTGAATGCAGATAATCGAGCTGAAAAGTATGGGTAAAATGGAAGCAATTTGATGAGGCAATGATGGATAAATCGCTCGTTGTTAAGTTGGTATAGTTACCGGTTCGGTTGATGATGTAGGTCAAACAGCTTTTGGAGCTTCCAAGATGGGGGGCATCATTTTCACGTGATGTGGGGTAGTTGGACGGAACCAGGACGGTGAGCAGTCTTAGTCAGCGGTTGTCGGGGCAACTTCACCGACGTCAACAAATGGACCGCATCCAACTCTTATGGAACAAATAAAGACGAAGCCCAAAGTCAACAATCCACATCCGTCCCCACCACCCGCAGCAATTGGCGATCCCCTCGGTTCCATACTCCTTACTTTCCTTCCTCATGCTCTCTTTCTTTCTCCCTGCCGTCCTGTTGCTTTCAAGCTAATCATGAGTACAGTCTTCATCGCGGGGCCATTCAAGTCTTTCTTTCAGTTGCTTCCTGCGCGCCATCGTTATTATTTCTGAAACCCCAACAATAGCAACAAGAGCATTTGCGGTGCTGCTCTTGACCCTTTCAAACTATATCTAGCTATAGCTTCTTTATTGCGACTGGTATCTGGCTTACGCGCGTTCGCCACAAGCCTGATTTGTTAGGGATGACAATGGATACCAGCTACCTGACCTCTCAGGTCAACTCCATCGTCGGTCAATTGCATGGACTGTTTGATGAGATAGGCGTTTGTAACCATGATCGTAAGTCGAGAGAGCAAGAGGTAAGCAAGATATTTTAAACACATTGGGTGAAAATCGATACTAATATACCTTTGTATAGCTCTTTGCATCGCTATCAGACACACTCCAAAGCCACTTACGCCGCGCTGATTGGTATGAGAAACCAACGGGCATTTTCTCTTTGTCTACGTTGCTAATTGGTAACAAACAGTGAAAAAAATGACATGATCAGCGAAGCGCAACAAATCATCGAACTGATTAAACAGATGGAAGCATCTCTTGATGACGTCGCCAAACACGACCGCATGGTTGAGGATCCAGAGCTCCGCGTTACTTTCCCTCTAAATCTTTGTCTCAAAGTGTTGAAGGAGAAATACGCTACCATCAGTAAAATCCACCGTGAAAGATTTGAGCAAATAAAGAGTAAGTTGTGTTCTGTTCTCGAAATGATTGCGCAGCAGCTGATGTTTTTTTTTTTTTTTTTTTTGTGTGTAGAGCTAGCCCGAGCACTTGAATCCTATTCCTCCCATCTTGAACCCTCATTTGTGATGATTCCACTTCCCCCAACCACTGATGGTGCTTCCATCCCAACTTCATTTGATCTCTCGCCATCCTATGCGGCCGAACTCGATAAGGAGTTTACCAGAGTTTATGAAGAATATACACGTCGCGTGCAGGTAGTTCAAAGCATTTCAGAGGAAATAGTCAAGCTTTGGGTGGAACTAGGTACCCCGCAAGCACAGACCGATGCGTCAATCGTTAAGCATCACCGCGAGTCCCCAGAGCAGTTGGGATTGCACGATTCAGACCTCGCTTCTCTCAGAGAAATACGAGATAAATTAATAGAAGAAAAACGTGGACGGGAACGGAAACAGAAAGAACTACGAACTGCGGTCGAATCACTGTGGGAACGCCTGGGCATCGAAGAATCCGATAGGAAGAGTTTCCTTGCTGCAAATCGCGGATGTAGTCTCAGGGCGATAAATGAATTCCAGGATGAGCTGAATCGACTGAATGAGTTGAAGAGGCAGAACCTTCACCTGTTTATTGAGGATGCTCGCTGTCGGCTCCAGGAACTTTGGGATAGCTTATATTATTCCGAGGAAGAGATGCTTGATTTTACTCCTGCGTTTTCAGACGTCTACAGCGACGCTCTACTTTTAGCACACGAGGCAGAAATCGAACGTTTAGAGACACTCCGAGAACAACGGGCGCCGACACTTGAACTCATTGAGAAACATCGCACCCTTGTGAATGACCGCAATACCCTGGCTGCCTCTAGCCAGGACGCGTCTCGTCTGATGGCTCGTGGTAACAAGGGGGAACGTCGTGACCCTACCAGACTTCTAAGGGAAGAGAAGATGAGGAAGAGAATAGCGAAGGAGCTACCAAAAGTTGAAGCTGAACTGCGTAGAATACTTGAGCAATGGGAAAATGAATACGGAAGACCATTCCTAGTTCACGGTGAGCGATATCTGGATGAAATCCAACCTCCTGCCCCAGCAAAAATCCCCCCAAGATCAAAAACGCCATGTGTGCCCACTCAGAACAGCCGGGCAAATTCTGTTAGAACTCCATCATCGATGCGTGGCGGAGGATCAATTAGGGGTTTACAGCCTCCTTTCCATTCAAAAACGCCTACCGGAAATGGCACCCTTAGGCGCAATGCTGGGAATCCAACTATTGAAAATGTCATCAAATCGCCTACTAAAATCCCAAGCCGCGTTCCTCTTAGCAACATGCCTTTTGGGAACAACTCACCGGATCGCCGTCCTCCTCAATCACATTCTTCAGATTTCCGGAGCAAAATGCCACCACCCCGGGCTCCTCCTCCTAAGATGCGTGATCTCACTTCAGTTGCGCGCCAGGAAACTCCCCAGAACTCATTTTATGCGGATACGGAGCGCTGCAACAGTGTGATGTCGTTATCTACCTCTTATGTTAGGCAAATCAGCCAGGAGGATGTTTATGATGATAGAAACCAGCACAGCTACATGGGTTCTTCCACGTCCCACTATAGACCGGAATCACCCCATTCCACTTTCAAACCGTTCAACCCAGCTGCCAGTCTACAAGATTCGAACTACTATAACCATCAGAGACATCAATCACAACCTCAGCCAACATGTTACATGCAACAATCACATCACCCGGAGCCAATGGGCCCTCCTCCCCGGCCATCCAGTCGCCAAATTTCAAATACCTCTACCGTTACTACTAGCACATCTAGATCCGAGAACTGGGAAACATATGACGACGCATCTGAGCCCGAAATTGACGCAACAGATGTTTATTACGCAAAGATGAGAGCCGCACAGGGCAAGTTGCACAATGCGGATTCAGGCACTATGAACGGTAAAAAGTTCAAGGGGATCCGTGGTGTTGGCATGGAAGAGAATTTTGTCGAGGAAAATGGACAGATTACGAGAATTGTGGGTAGCGATGCTGGATGGACTGATGATATGGAAACCTATTGACGCAGAAGTCACTTCACTTTGTTTTAATACCAAAAAGGAGCCTTGACGCTGAAACAAGTTCCCTGGTGTGTTTGATCACGCGTGAAACGTCGTGGTGAAGGCTCCCAGTTCTTCTTTTAAAATATACGACTCTACAGGGACGGTTTTATGAACACGATGAAATGAGTTGTTTTCCCTGCCTTGCCATTTCCATTTTTGCCCTGGCTTTCCTCCTTCGCCGTCATCATCTTGTATAATGTGCCCTCCCCGCCCTACCTTACCAACGGATTCCCTTTCCTTTTCTTTCTTTCGTCCCATCGGATGAACGTTTGATACAGGGGTTCTCCCATATCACGTCTTTTTCCCATTAGCACACTTTCTAACCTTCTTTCCGATTCCTGATCTGCCAGGAAATCTAGCCATCTCTTCCCCTATTCGCAAACGGCATGTCTCCATCCAAGGGCGAAAAAGCTGGCAGTTTACGGCAGTTGTTCTTTTGCTTTTATCCCCATTTGCGTTTTTCGACCTTATGACTGGCCTATTAGCTCTTTTGCATGTTTCTTTGATGACAGACCCTTGAGCTCGCTTCACCTAAGCTTGACGCTCTATTTCGTTATTGTCCTTTTTCTTGCTTGTCTTTTATTTCCCCTTCTTGTGTTTTTCAATTGCAATGTTTTGGCGTTTGGTTTATGAACAAAGTTTCGCGTGTTTGACATATTTTTGGCAGTTTTGCTTCGGGATGCTTTTTCTTGTCTGGCTTGGTTTAGTTATTGTGGTTTTCTGTTTCTCTTTCTCCTTGACGTATTCTTTAATCGGTTTCGGTTCTGCCCTTTGCTTTCTTGGTTTGCCATTGCTTTTAATTGCCTGCCCACATTTGTTTTTGTTAAAGAACATCTTTCTCTGTTGTTTATGGGCATCATCTCTTATTTTCCTCTTATAATTTTGCTGTTGATATTGGTACTTTTGTTCGATTATCTGTTGTTTTAATATCTGTTTTTGTTACTGTTGGGTTGTGTGTCTGTGCCGGCTTCGAGAAGCAGCTACGGCTATTGATTCAAAAACAAAAAATCAAATGTGTTCGGCTGTTCATTGCCTCATTAATTACTGTCTAGTATCTCTATTTACTATTGAATCCTTCTTTTAACAACTCGCCAACCGATTTCCGCAAGAAGAATACTTTATATTCTCGTCTGGTGGGAGAATACATTGCAAGGGTTGGTACGCAAGATATGATTTTTAAAAAAGAATTCCAAAAGTCATAATAAAAGTAATTAATATACGAATCTATATCCTCTATACTAAAAGCAATAGCGACATGATAAATGGCTAATACGTTATAGTTAGCCATCATCAAGCATCACTATTAGCAGCCTGTTTCTTCAATGCATCCCAACTCCTGCCCCCGCCCTTCAACCCCGCTCCATCAATTCCACCCTTCAAACTCAAACCTTCCTGCTGCATTGGCATCGTCAGCTGCCGCGCCTCCTGCAATCTCCGCACACATTCTTCACGGCCTAGAATGGCCATCGTTGCCGGGATGTTTATCCCTGGTGCTCCACCTAATAAGGCCCAGCGGAGATAGTGGTAGAGGTCTTTGCGCAATTGTTTTTCGGAGGCAGAGGTGGAGTGTGGCGATGTTGATACTGCAGAACTTGTAGCGCATGGAGATGCGGATGGGGATAGGTTATCGGTAAGGAGGTTAGATATGTTTTGCTTATGGGTTTCTGTGGTCCAGTGTTCGTCTGGCACTAGGCAGAGGGCTGCAGCGGCGGCGTGGAGGACTGTGACCGGGGTAGCGGTCGAAGCATTGGTAAGAGGGACTGTACTGGGTGTTTCAATTTCGGGTTCGAGTTGACTTCTCTTCTTGGATGGAGATGGGGTAACTGGATCGTAGGCTGGTCGGTCGAGGGTGTTGGTGAAGAATGACTTGTTGTCATCGATGAATTTTGACGCGTTGATGTAGGTGCGCGCCCCGCCTTCGCGGATTATGGAGGCGATGCGTTCGCGCAGATTTCGTTGACCTAGGAGCTGTTCACTGGTGTATCGATTTTTCAAGGCCTTTTCTATTCGATCGATCATGAACTTGATTTCGGGGCCTCCTTTGGTTGCATATCGCTGTGCGTGTGCGCTCTGTAAGAACCAGAGTTTCTCGAAAGAAACGATGGTATTTCCTTTCGTGAGTTTTAGGTCAAACTATTGCATAATCTATTAGCATTTACAAGAAAAGGCCTTTTGCAACGGATGGGGCATTCGAATTTCCATACCGTTTGTTCCAGCTCCTTCAGGCTAAAAATGTCGGTTTTGCGGGAATGGGACCAGCCCAGCAGTGCGGCGAAATTGTCCAAAGCTTCGGGGAAAACTTCCTGCCTATCTCTGAAGAGCGAGATATCGATATCCACGTTTCGCTTGCTGAGTTTCTGTCCGCTTTTCTCGGTCAGGAGAGGGACATGGCCGAATGCTGGTGGTTCCCATCCAAAGGCATTATACAATGCAACATGCAACGGTGTTGAGGACATCCATTCCTATACAGTCGATACGTTAGAAAATACACCGAATGGCAGGGGATATTTCTCATCGTACCGTGCCCCGAATGACATGGGATATCTTCATATGATGGTCATCAACCACATTAGCAAGATGGTAAGTTGGATAGCCATCCGATTTGATCAAGATCGGATCGCTCTGCTGGCTACTGAGCCGGCCAGCACTCGCAGTTATATTCTGGCCAGTTTTCCCGAAAACGAGATCTGTGAACATAGGAAATGGCCCAGCCATACGCAAGCGGACTACGTTTGATTCTCCATTCCTAGAACGATCTTCAGCCTCCTCTGGTGATATCCCTCTGCAGGTTCCGTCATAGCCAGGTGGCAATCCCAGCTCATTGCGGTGTCTGGCAAGAGTATCGAGCCGTTCCGGTGAGCAAAAGCATCTATATGCATGTCCCGTAAAAATAAGTTTTCGGATCTCCTCCTTGTATATACCCATGGACGTTCGTTCGGACTAAAATCAGCGACCAGTTAAAATCCACCTTCGCCATTCCATCTACCACAATTGACTACACAAAAGTAGCGTACCTGTCTATAAGGACCATAAGGGCCACCCACAATAGGGCCTATATGCCGTCGTCAGAATTCCAGATGATCTTCTCCCCTACTAGCAATATCAATCAACAAATACCCTCATCCCACTGAAGTCCAGCCCACTGTAAATCCTCACACAGCCGCTGCTCGGCCCCAGCAATTGTCCTTTTCTTCGACAATCAGCACGGAAGGATTCAAAAAGACGCTGTAGGTGTTAATGGGAAAACCAACCTGATCCGTATCCTCTATGCGCAAAAGAAACTGTCCGCCGGTTCTTTTCGCAAGGAGGTAGTTAAACAAGGCTGTCCGCAGGGAGCCAAGGTGCAGGTAGCCCGTAGGAGATGGGGCGAAACGAGTGCGCGCCGGGAAATCTGGGAGCAGCCTGCTCTGTTTGCGCCCATGACTGGAGAAGAAACTTGCGCCGCAAAACCTACAGGGAGCCTTGGTGAGTATAGGACGAAACGGCGGCCTCATTGTCCGGCGTTCCACATTCAAAGGAAAAACGCAAAACAGAGCGCTGAATACTCGCAATGTCGATTCATCTGTAGTAAAAAGAAACGGGGGAAAAGAAAGAAAAAGAAAAAGAAATCTCCCGTGAAGACCTGTGTCGGGGCGAAAGTCCAGTTCCTGTTAGCGACGTTTACTTAGCGGCATGTTGCATGGCTGATTGAGGAGTGTCGCAACGAGAAAACTCGCCGCCCGCTGCCAACCAGTGTTTTTATTGCACTTTAGTTTTTCTTTTTTACTCCTCGAGGATAATTAATACTAACAACCTCCACCAAACAACACAACAACCCCTCATGCACAAAATATCTTCTGCTCCTCTCCTGGTTTTCTTCAAGTCGTTCATTTAACTGTCAATCCTTCTTCAAATCAGAGCCCTAGAGAGTGTAAATTTATCAAATTTATCAAGTTCTTTCCAAAAAGTGAGTTTCTGCATTGCGCCCGAGTTAACTCCCTGCTGACGAGAAAGCCCTTTGTCTGTCGTGGCCAGTCTCACTAATTCACAACAACAGTGGACTTCACCAATGGTGAAACTGATTTATACAGTTAGTCCCCTCTTTCTCTATATCTTATATGTATACATTCATGAGTGGTCCATGCAACTAACCAGTACCAGCTGTATTGAACATTGAGAGATCCGCGACCAAGGAGGAAATTCGAAAGGCGTATCGCAAGGTAACGAAATCCCTAAACCCTCCATCTAGAAGTTCTTTAGGGACCACGAACTAATGAGCATTACTGTTTCTTTCTATAGGCAGCTCTTGCACACCATCCCGATAAGGTCTCGCCAGAAGAAAGAGAACAGGCTGAAGTACGATTCAAAGCTGTTAGCCAAGCTTACGATATCCTTTTTGATGATCAGAAGAGACACATTTATGATACCCATGGAATATCGGCGTTTGATGGGTCGGGGCGACCGGGAATGCAAGGTGGTTCTGATCTTGATGACCTCCTTGCGTCGATGTTTGGTGGTGGTTTGAACATGGGAGGCGGCATGCCAGAGTTTGGCGGACAACGGTCGAGCAGAACTAGGAAGGGCCAAAACGAGGTTCAAAAATATGCGGTGAGCTTGGAGGATTTATACAGGGGCCGGACCGTCAAGTTTTCAAGTACGAAAAATGTCATTTGCACTCTTTGCAAGGGGAAGGGCGGGAAGGAGAGGGCAAAACCAAAACAGTGCTCTCCCTGTGGAGGTACAGGTAAGGGACCCTGATATGCTTGAACAGAGTAGTTCAGTGACTAATAATGAATTTTAACGATAGGTTACAAGGAAACCCTGGTGCAAGTCGGCCCGGGCATGGTTACCCAAACCATGGCAGAATGTAAGGTGTGTGAAGGTTCAGGGAGCTTTTTCCAGCCAAAAGATAAGTGCAAGAAATGCAAAGGGAAAAAGGTTACGGAAGAGAGAAAGCTACTTGAAATCTACATCCCTCGAGGCGCGAAGTATGTTTGGATTGCCCTTCCTGACAGAAACCAGTCCCGCCGCTAACCGTTTCATAGACAAGGTGACAAAATTACACTAGAGGGCGAAGGAGACCAGTTCCCAGATATAGAGCCGGGAGATATCGTGTTTGTCTTGGAAGAAATCGAACACAGCACGTTCCGAAGAGCCGGTGCCGACCTGATGGCCGAGATTGAAATCACGCTGGCGGAGGCAATCTGCGGATTCTCTCGTGTGGTGCTGAAACACCTCGACGGAAGAGGAATCGAGATATCTCATCCTAAGTCAAACGGCGCCATTCTAAGACCGAATCAAGTTCTCAAAGTCGCGGGCGAAGGCATGCCGTTTAAAAAGAGTGATGCAAGAGGTGATCTTTATCTGAAAGTCAAAATAACGTTCCCTGAGGATGGTTGGGCCTCGGACCCGACTGTCCTCGCAAAGCTCCGGGAGGTTTTCCCTGAGCCCAGCACAGCCATCGAAGCTGAGACGGTGGATGATGTCGAGTATGACCCGAATGCAAATATCGAGGACTTCGGATCCAACAACAGCCGGGGAGACTCAGGTTGGGAAGACGAGGAAGAGGAAGAGGGCGGGCAGGCACAGTGTACGACACAGTGAAGGATTTTCTACCTTTCACGCTGTCTGACTAGCCCCGGGGCCGTATGTTATGCCTCGTACTTCCCCGTATTGCCTTGCCATGGCTAGGATAGAGCGTGCATGATTGTGTTGGAAGTCTGAGAGCCTAATTGCCCTGTTACTTTCCTGTTCATTCTGTTCTTCTGTCCCGTTTCTCTGTAATATCTTCTTCGCCGCAAATCAGCGTCGGGTCGAAGGTTTTTCCCCGGAAACGAAGAATACTGTCTTTAAACGTCTCCCAAGGTGGAGCATGATATTCTAACGATTCTTTGTTATGATGATGAATGCGGTTGGGTTTACTGCCATCACATGAATATGTATCATCCTTGTTCTTCCCCCCCACCTCCTTTTTTTATTTTTATTTTATTTTATTAAAGTTTCCATTGTTATCGTTGGGCATCAGGATTAGATCGGTCGGAAGGATTATTGACCTGGGGTCTATAAAACAGAAGGGTTAATGTTAGGGATCAGAACTCGATGAAAAAATTTCTGAATGTACATGTCATGTACATTACGAAGGGTTTAGCCCAGTGCTAGAGACTATCAACCTTGGAAATATGACAGTAACTAGAGTTCACTCATCTCTGGTTCGGAAAGCTTGGTCTTTGGAATCTGTGTGATACATTTTTCTCTATTGAGATGTGCCAAAACTTCTGCTTGACGTAGGCCCAGACACTCTCAGAGCCATAACTTACACAATAACCGAAAATACATGCGAGTGCATCTCTTTTTCAAAAGGAGCACGCAAAGGATCCTGCGCCATCAAACCAACGAAACTCACTACAACTTCGGTATCCCTTCATTCTCTACCCCTTTCACCACCAGCCTCTCCAACCCCTTTCGAATTCTCACATCCATCCCCTTCTTCCCACCTGCGTCTCCGCCCACTGATCTTATCCCTCCCTTCTCCACAAACACATGTGTAAATCCTCCGACGGCTTTAACCGCATCATCTCCACGGCGGAAAATGCCAACTTCGTACTTCACGCTTGAGCTGCCGAGTTTGATGACGCGCAGGCCTAGATCTAGAACATCTGGAAAAGAGACAGAGGAGAAATAATCGCAGTATGAAGAGACAACGAGGCCGATTTGGGTTGGTGGAGATGGGGTTGAGGATGTAGAATTGGGAGTGACCGGGATAGCTGATGGCGAGGGAGATGAAGAGGAAGACCGTGCAGAGAAAGGATCCAGACCGCAGTGGTTTATTAAGTAGGTGTTTACAATGGAGTCAATGAGAAAGGCGTAGATGCTGTTGTTTAGATGTGCGTACATGTCGTTGTCGGACCTGTTGGAGAGGATATCAAAATTAGCTTTGCTTCATATGGGCATTTAATTTTCGCACCAATGACATTTCTACATTCCAAAACAGAGGCAGATATCCATGGATCATGTCTATCAGATACGTAATACGCTAACATTCAAGGTTCGATAATCTATAGACCAGTTTCACTCACCATCTTGTCCGATATTCTAAGTGGAACACATAATCTTTTCTCGTCTTCCGCTTCTTGAGTTCAAGTTCTGTCGGCGCCATTGCATGGCTTCCTCATGCAAAAGTATGTTTTACGGAGAGTAAACTGGCAAAAGCGCTCCTGTTGACCGATCAGTGGGAAGAAATTCTACTTTGAACGCGGGAGCAGGAACCTCGGTTGATTTGAGAGATCGATAAGATAAGCTTAACTAATTAATAAGGATAGTCACATGATAACCTTATTTTAGCCTCAAAAACCATGTTTATCCATTAACATTTTTTTTTTGGCATTTTTTTGACGGGTCACTAAGAGGAGCAATGTTTGTTAAGATAATATATTCTTGCTAACTTTATTCACACTTTCATTTCTCATCTCATCCCTTCCTTTCCTTTCCCTTCGATTATATCTATTCTCTGTGTTATTCAAATCTCCAACGCCCGTGGCTCCCTCTCCCCGCGTTCTCGCCTACCTGGCACAGCGGGGTCGATATCCGACTCCCAGCATGAGTCTCACCACCGTCGATCACTCGTTTCCTTTAGGAGACGACTCTTTTAAACCTCCGCCGGATGTCGTGGTGACACCTTGTGACCCTTTGCCTAGACCATATTATATTGAGGGTGGCTTGCGCAGAGTCGCACCATATCACTTCACTTATAATACTTATTGTAAAGAACGGTGGCGGGGAAGAGGGTTGTTGGATGTTTTTGGAACAGAATTTAGAGATAGGCCTCGCGAGTATTATGTATGTCGATAATTTTCTGCCGTTATTGCTGTTCAGCCTTGCTGAGCTTTCCTGAGAGGCGAATCATTCCAATGTAAAGTTACTAACAGTTTGGACTGTAGAAAAAAGCTATTGAAGACGGCGCCGTATGCATAAACGGAAAGGCAGTTACAATAGATACGAAAATTCAAAACGGCGACGTGATTTCGCATACCCTCCACAGACACGAACCGCCGGTCACCAGTCAACCGATAGGTCTAATCCACGAGGACAATGACATGATCGTAATTGATAAGCCTGCAGGGGTGCCTGTCCACCCTGCCGGAAGATATAATTACAATTCAGTTCTTGAGATAATGAAAGCAGAGCGGGGACACGGATGGGTTCCTTATCCATGTAATCGCCTCGATAGGTTAACGTCGGGTGTCATGTTCATCGGTAAGCACCCCAGGGGTGCCGAACAAATCGGAGAAAAGCTCCGTTCACGCACTGTGCGGAAGGAATATGTTGCACGGGTGAAAGGGAAATTCCCAGATGGCGTGGTATTGTGTGACCAACCTATGTTGAAAATCAGCCCAATTCTCGGCCTCAACCGAGCGAGAGCTTCAGGAAAGGAGGCTAGAACTAAATTCCGTAGAATCGCATATTATCCACCGTATGAACCGGCGGAGAAAAGTTCAGTTTCGTCAGCTGAACCGGCCACCCCACCTGCCACTCTGCCAAATGAAATGAATATCAGCAACTCATCGACCGCTACGCCGACGGGAGTGGCTACTCCTGTTCCCAAGAGCTCAGATGAGGAAGGCTACAGCATCGTCCATTGCCTCCCGTTAACCGGACGTACCCACCAAATCCGTGTCCACCTTCAATATTTAGGATATCCAATAACCAACGACCCGATCTACTCCAACCGTCGAGTTTTTGGCCACAGTCTTGGCAAAGCAGATGCAACTGGAGAAAACGACGAGCAGATAATATACCGGCTGTCTAAAATGGGCAAAACCGAGCCCGCCGACTCCCTCAGTTACCAAACTTTCCAAGCACCTCCGCCCGAATCGGTTACCAAAAATGACCCTGCCGTTGTGGATGACCTGCTGGCCAAAGAACACGAAGTGATGGTTAACGACTATCTGAAACGCAAAGGGGAGAAGATGAACGGAAAACAATGCGAGACGTGCGGAACGGAGCTGTACACTGATCCAGGCGTGCATGAGTTGGGAATTTTCCTGCATGCCGTGGCGTATGCAGATGTCACTGGGGCATGGAAGTACAAGAGTAAAATGCCTGGATGGGCATTACCTCCTGAGGGCATGGAGGGTCCCACTAGTCCCCCGGATTGGGTAGATGATGGAAACGAGGAAGTTATAGGAGAAGGACAGCATGGGGACGCAGCATTGGTGGAGGGGCTAGGTGCGGTGAACTTGCAGGAATTGGTTGATAAGAATAAGAAAGAGGTTTAGGCGAAGGAAAAGAGGAACTATGGTGATGGCATAGGGGTTGCTTGAGAAGTCTGCTGCCGTCTCAATAAAGAGGGGCTGTTGTCAGAATGGATTGATGAGTTGGTGCATTGTTGGCTTCAATTATTTCATATAACATACCAACTAGATAAAGCTACGCCTATTTGGAGGCTTTGGTTTAACCATCAAAATATATATATATATATATATATATATATATATATTTCTATCCTCGAATTCCCCTGTAGAAAGTGCCGAGTTGTCGAAGCTGGTAAGAACAGGCGACTACCTTAGCAATGACCACCTGGGCATAACTAACTAACTAATAGGCGCCCGCCCTGGAAGACTGCAGCTGCACGGGTTCGCTTTAACAATCCTTCTTCTCTTCCGTCCCCGAACCAGTCGCCCTTTTATGGAGCTCCGTGTCGGGCAGAGACCTGCTTTTGTGGTTAAAGGCACCCTGAGAAAACGCAGATGAAATTTCGATGCTACCTTAATCTCTAGTTTGCTTTGCTGACAACAGCTAATTAACCTCCTAAAAAACTCCCTCGCCTCACAATAATGTAGAATGATAACTTCTCAGAGATGCATCGCGTCTTTTCATCTGTTTTGCATTATTCTGTTTGATTCAGATAGTTTCAAATGAGCAATCTTCTCACTAGGGCTTATGAACGCAGGGAGACATCAGAAAGCTCAAGCAATTTGTTTGATTCAGATAACTACGTGTTGCGCTCATAAGAAGTGTGAGGCTGTTCCAATAACGAAGTGGTTATAGTCAGTTGGCGAAGAAGATGTAGTCAATAATGAAGAGGATGTAGACAGACAATTTTCAGTCTTACGACTACATTCTTCTACATGAGATGTTTTTCTGATGTACAAGATAATCACCTACGGAAAAGAAGGTTTGATGGCTTTTGACCAGATTTGGTTCAATCTCATCACAAATCCCCGATTCCTATATGACATTCCTTGTGATAGTCTCTCCCTCATAACAGGAGATGATTTCCCACAGAAATTAATCTACGTTAAGTGAAGCCATGATAGACCATTGACTTCCCTGAGTGTATGCAGGGGTTGCAGGGGTTCCAGCGGGTTAGATGAAAACTGCTACCCCAGTGTGGGTGTGTTAAAAGGGACGGACCTCTTAAAATGTGCCATCAAAACCCTCCCTTGAATAGCTTAAATAGTTTGGATTCATGAAATGGCTGATGTTTCGGAAGCCAATTGTTTTAACTCCATTGTTTTTCAAAGTGGTGAGATCCCAGGAGGGGGGGAGGCAGCGGAAAAGTTTAGGTTTCGACCCGCTAGAACTTCAGGGTCGTCTACATAGTGAACAAGGCTGGAGCAATATATGAAGAACAGAAACAAAGTCCATAATAATATGCGGATATTTGTGATGATCTATAAATTGAGGACCATCTCTGCATCTTCAGAGTTAACCCTTTCCGAAGGAGAAAATAAGCAAAATGAAAATGAAACAAGGGAAAATAAAAAAAATGTGAAAAGTCATCACGCCGGAGAAGCACATAAAATAGCAATTTCATTCCGTTAATTAATTGGAAATGGGGTTTCAAACGGCTATTTTATTTCTCTAAATGCTTTCGTCAAATCCCAAGCCTCCCATCCCGTACATATAAACGTAAAAGGGAAAAAGCAGAAAACAAAAATTGACTACGACTCTGTCGTGAGTCTGCCCTTGGGGTTGGTGACTTTGACACCGAGTGCCTTGGCCTTTGCGATGATGTCGATTCTCTTCCCTGATGAAACAGCATGTCCGATCCTAGAAATAGAGGACCATATTAGTATTGGACATAGGATAATGTCTACTTCCCTCGTTGACTTTTGAGAATGATGCGACCAGGTAGGTAAATGTGAGGTTCAACGTACTCAGCAGCGTATGTCCGGTTGTGCATCAACAGGAGTTCGACATCTTTGGGGTTCTGAACGAGGAAGACCTTGTGGCCGGAGGGAGTCAAGTGTCTGGTCTTCTTGTTGCTTCCGTAACCGATCTATATCATTTCCAAGATGGCAAATCGTCAGCCATGAATCCTAGAGACCCAGTTTCTCAAGATTTCCTTCATGTCTCATCGTGCTGGAGTGACCGGAATCCCGTGTCCCGCCAGGTCAGGCATATATTAATCGTACCTTTGGCATAGCAGCCTGGCCACTGAACCGTCTACGGACGCGGTTGTCGATGCCCTTTGGTTTTCGCCATGACGGATCGACACACTTGTAGCGATCCGACTGGTGGCGGTTGAAGCGTTTCTTGTCTGTATGCCCAGAAATCCTCAAATCAGCCTTCTGATCCCTTCCAGATCCCATTATGAACATTCCCAGAGTGTTGTCATCTCCTCCACATAATTCCCCAACACTATTTCCATCCGTATTCCCACCGACTGTTGTCATAGCTTCATAACCAACGGATATCCCGAATCCTGAAAGACACTGGAATTAATTGGGGGTACGTACGCTTCTTCACGATCGGGATATGCTTCTTTGCGGCGACCATCTGTTCAATTCCCAGTTATTAGCTCGCGTTCCAAGCTCCCAGACAGCCCAAAAATCGATTGCCGCCCGTCAGCGAAGAGCAAAAACATACCTTGACGGTATTGTGCGGTCCCGAAGCTGGTCGTGGGAGGTTGTCGTCGATGGGTGAATTCGGTCGATGGCGGACTATTCGACGACGTTGTCTTTGAATTTTCCAGCCAGAGTGGAATTTCGGCGCTAGTTGGCTTGCTAAGCGAGACTGCTCGACTAGGGTTTCTTAAGAAAGCCCTAATGCCTTTTTGGGTATATCACATGACCGATATTTGCACCTTGGGCTATTAAGTGAACTAACTCAACTTCAACTTCCACCAAGAGAGCCATACCATGGCACGAGAGAATCGAAAACCTGCCCATATAGCACGCAGAAGGCCATGGGAATCAGAAGGTTGCATGACACACCCAACCATGTGCCTCCTAGCTCCCTGCAGTCAGGAGCCAGCCTCTCCTGGTTGTTTCTAGGCAACCTCGCAGCTGGTCCTCCGGTGGTTGTGATGTTAGCCATCCGCCCTTTCAAATACAATGTGATTGTTGGAGATACCGAAGTTATATTCCAATAAATTCAAATATGAGATTGTTGCCAAATGACAAACTATAGGACGACCCTGGAATTATCATAAGGTCGTCGCAGGAAGAACCTCAAGCACATGACCAGAGTCATGTGTAATAGCTACAATGATTGCGTTTTGTTGGCTATAAATGTATAGAATTTCCCACATGAGCCTTACAGATGGAGTGTCCACTGTTTCTTGGTGAAGTGAAATTCCAAATCTCTGAAATGCCTCTGAAGAAATATCTTAAGTCACCATCAGAACACTTTTGTATGCCCCGATACACTAGACAAGCCAACCTCATTGATTTGTCCCCGCTGTCTGCCCTGTTGTGCAACGGAATTATGGGGGATCTTTCTACTGAGATATTTAATGCAATCAGGTAACCTGGGGGCTTACAATCCATCGCGAGATATACATAGCCAGGTGCACAGTCCAAGCTAACCCTACTCACCAGGGACCATCACACATCGTTTGGCAGCATTGTTGTTAAGCGTGTCCCGCTATGTATTCCACCCCACACCGATACGCCAGAGCTCTATGCTCTAGGGATATCGCGTTTCGCAGAAATATACTTTGCCTTTGAATCAGCCTGGCTCTCACAGCTATCTCAGGCTCCATCTACTATAAACTCCAGCAGCCCAGATGAATATGAGATCCTGGATTCCTTCGTAAATGATGAGCACGGCCGCATTAGGAGTATATTGAACCGGATTTACATTCCCGAGTTACTACGAAGCGACAAACTCAAGTCAGACTTGCGCGCATTGGGGCTGTCACCTGGAACAGGGGACGCAGGACAGGACACCTCTAGTGACGACAATACATCAAAGGAAAAATATAGTGCGCAGGGCAATGCCGCATCCGCATTCGCAGCACATATCAAAGCAACCACAGAGGAACACCCGCATCTAATCATAATCTACGCGTGGATAATGTACCTGGCGTTACTCAATGGCGGACGTCGCATCCGCACAAAGCTCGCCGCGGGTGGCCATGACTTCTGGAACTCCGGCACCCGTAGGAATGAAGATGGCAGCAGAAACGGGATCCCAAACGGCCTATCGTTTTGGTTCTTCCACCGCGACGATAAGGACCTGTACGATGACGAAGGCATCACAAAGGAATTTAAACGACGTCTTCTTTCTGCCTCGTCGCTCCTGACCATCTCGGAGCGGGCGCAGATCATCGCTGAAGCGGTCAACATCTTCCGACATTGCAGTCGCATCGTTGCGGAAATTGATGTCGAGGTTGAAAGGGCCGGGCTTGTTCAGAAGAGTGGCGAGAGCCATCGGAAGACACGCGGTGGGATCTTTCCTTCGATCAAGAGTAAGCTGTCCCCCATTGCATCTGGGATCCTACGAAGGCCAACAGATTCATCGACACAACCACGGTCCAGGAGTGGGATTCGTTTTCGCCCCGTTCTGGTTGGGGTTGTAGGGTTGTTGGGAGGGATATGTGCGTGGTTGTGGTCAGCGAATGCAGACACTGCCCAGGGTAGGTATACGTTTTGGAAAGGAGGGAGTGAGCATGAGAGATAGGTTCGGCCTCTCTCTCTCTCTCTCTCTCCTTTTTTTTTTTTTTTTTTCTTCTTTTCCAATTCTTATTTTATTTATTGTTTGGATACATTCTCGTTCTGGATACGTATTTTGGTTTTTACATATACCCCCTGCATTTTTATATACCCATATTGTTTTGCTTACTGCTTTTGTTCTCTGTGATTTCCCTCCTTGCATCCATTCCTTCTGCTCTCTGTACATTATTGTATCATTAAACACTGTACTCTATGATTTCGTATCCTTCCCACAGTCTGCACACCTCCTATTTCTACGTCATAATTCCCTATCCACTGTACATTTTCTATTTCCTAAGCATTTACTATACCCCTGCTCCCATAGATGAACCCCCCGTATCACATCCACCCCTTGCATAATTGCCAGATATATACCTTTTCACTTTCCATATTATTATCATTGTTAGATTGAAATACACCCTATTTTTGATTCAGTATGTTTTCTCTTTGTATTTTTTACCCTTCATTCATAATATGCCTTCTTCCTCCATTGCACTTCTGCTACCTTTCATTCATCTCAACAAACCATTCAGCCCCCTTGAGAAGGAAGTCATGACATTAAAATATTTAAAGTTGGTTGTCCATCCAGTTGATACCCGAGATACAGAGAGTAAAGATGCCACCAATCCATGTCCCATCACAGTAATGAATTCATACTCATACACATAACTACATACACGATAGATATCCCGAATGCACAAAAAAGAAATGGGCATAAAAAGGGGAACAAAAATTTAGGGTAACACAAGACCAACTGACCAATAACAAACAAGCATGTTGGCGCAGCGAGCGCGCGCCGGGCTCATATCCTTGAGTTCCTTGGATCGAGACCAAGATATGCTGAATATATATATATATTTTTTTCGGATTTTGGGGGGGGAGGGGGGGTGTTTTGGGGTGGGGTGTGCTTCTCCGGACAAAAATAAGCGGAACAACGGGCCGGGGAACAAACCATATCGTACCTGCATTTCAACCCATCCCAAACACCCAAAAATCATTCTTATCATATCACCCATTGAAACTTTTTTTTTTTTTTTTTTTTTTTTTTTTTTTTCATAAGTAAAGAATTAACTCCTCCGCCCCTATACCCACCCCGACCATCCCGTCACCAATCCATGCATGTCCCAAACAGAAAAACAAAAACAGTAAATAAAAATAAATAAAGTAAGACACACGAAACACCCCTAACCCTGTATCTCCCCTCCCTCTCTTCTAACCCCCTTCCTGCGGCCACCTACCCAACCATCCCCCTGATCCTCTCCACCCTCTCAACAGCCCTCTCCAGCCTATCCAATCTGTCTCTCTTCTCCGCATCCCTCCGTTCAAGAACGTCAACCCTCTCCTCCAACTTTGCTCTCGCCCTGCGCTCCTGCGCAACCATCTCGTTCGCCTGACAGAAGAGTTGCGCAGTGAGTTCTTCAAGCTCGGAGTTTGTCTGATTGAGGCGGGATTCAGCTTGTTTACGCAGGGCTTGTTCGCGGGATAGGGCACTCTGGAGGACTGTGTCTGGTTCCGGCTGTGGTTGCGGTTGCGGCTGCGGCTGCGCCTGCGCCTGCGCCTGCGCCTGGTCCTGGGGCCGGAATTGGGATTGGGATTGATTATTACTATAATTGTCGCTGTTGTAGGAGGCGGAGGGGGAGATTGGGGGTCTGTTGGTTGGGCTTGGCGAGCGGTTTAGAGGAGGTGGGGTTGGGGCGTTGCGGCGGGCGTAGGGGAGGAGGGAGGCGAGGGTTCCTAGGCGGGATTGGGAGGGTGGGGTGGGGACTTGTTGGTGTTGAGGGGGCGAGGTGAGGAGGGTATTATTATTATTGCTGTTATTATTACTGTTGTTGTTGTTGTTGTTGTCTGTCTGGGAGGAGGAGACGAGGGTGGGAGTTGACGGGGATTGGTTGGTTATTTTGGAACGGAGGAAGCGGATTTCGTCTTCGTAGTCGGCGAGCTTCTCCGCTGCAGAAAAAAAAGGAAAGGTGTTAACGGGAATTTGGTAGAGAGAGACAGCTATATACCCTACGAAGGTATATGGGCGGGATGGGAAGATATATAATATATAATACGGAGTATCCTATCCAATGGAGGAGGATACGGGGCATATTAAAATAACAACAACTCACCGGTCTCCACAGCCCTCTTGTTCAGGAATTTCACCTGTGCCTCCAGCTCAGAGATACGCCGCTGGGCATGGTCGCTGTCCAAGCGCAGCTCAAAACCGCAACTTGGACAACCTGACGTTGCCGTTGTAGTAGTAGTAGTAGTAGTAGTTGCTGTTGTTGTTGCTGTTGCTGTTGTTTTTGCAGCGATGGAAGTGATGGACATGGAAGCCGTGTCGCCAACGAGCAAAGTGGTGGTGGAGCTGCTCATGAGCCGCGGTGGCAGAGGCCAACGGACGTCAGTATGTTCAAGAGGTGGATGGAACACAGGTCAACCAAGAGGAGAAGCAAAGGAGGAGGGCAGTAATATAGAGAGCGAGCAGTCCCCATTCGAAAGGCTAGGTTGTTATAACATTTCCGCGTGGGGTAAAGTTATGTGTGGGTTTGTTGAAAGTAAATTGTTTTATCCATAGGCTGAAGAATTGGAAAGCAAGAAAAACTGGGTTGGCGAAGTAAATCAAGTTTGGCAAAGACCCCTGGGCTTTTGACAAGTCCAACACGGGCGGCTAAATTGATGGAAAGCAGTGAATAAATTATCCGTGTGTGTCGTATTCTCCCGTCCTTATTCGAAATAATTGGATTCAAATTTCCACATCACGGGTTTCCGTACTTTTGGCGGTGACACTGCCCATGCGCGGTGCCAAAGGAGTTCACAGAATACCAAACACTTAACTTATTTCCTATTGTTTGTTAAATGTTCCCAGCCCCTCGGGATGTTGGGCGGATCATCATCCATGGCGATAAATATCAGTTATCAACGTTGGTTACTCCTGCATATCCTTGTTAGGGCCGCAGCCCCGCTGGTCTTGGGTATAAATATTAATCTGGGAGAGGAGATTTTCATATTTAACGGCAGAGAGTAACGAGGGGGAACAAATCGCCTATAAACCAACCCAGATATCTACTCTGGCTTAAACTAAATACTCGATTGCACAGCACATAAACATCGAAATGCACTAATCATGCACACCCGATCTACGGTATCCTTACTCAATCCCCACCATCTTCCCTCTCCCGCCCTCTTCCGCCATCTCCAGGCCGATCTACATCAGAAACAAAGTCTCCGTCGTCCCGATCACCCCAATCGTCGCTCTCACCACCATCTTCATGTTCCGGCTCAACCCTAACCCTTCCAAGCTAAATGTCGGGATTTCCGCGTTGCCCTCAGTATCGTCCTTGGAATGTTTTCTCTGTGTTTGATTGTTTGTGGGAGCCCGCAGGGAACCGCAGCCGTTGCTAGAGGGGATGGCGCCGGTGATGGAGAAGTTGCTTTTGGCTGTTGGTAAGATGGAGAAAGTTGTGAGAGAGGGAGAGGACGAAAGAGAGGGAGAGCATGTTTTGTAGAAGGAGTAGGCTGTGTTGATCGTTGCGGAGGTTAGTTTTGGACGGCGATATGAGTCGGAAGACGAGGTTAGAGGAAGGTTGAGGTCTCGTGGTTCGCCAGCCTATATGTATCTATATATAAATAACGACGGGTCTAAATCTCTATTTCTTAAATGTGGACAGTCGTGGCTGATGGATTGTATATATACGAATGTAGAATCCTGCTGATTGCAACTTGTTCGACGGGTAACTGGGATCTCTCAGTGAATACAGATTCCATTCCGAAGGTGGAGTGTAAAGACGATGTTGGGGCCTCCCTTTCGTATTTATCGCGGTCGGTTGCTGTCCAAGGTGCAAGGGGATGTGCCATCTCGATTTGTCGTAGTTGGGTTGCACGGTATGACTGTCATTTTCGTTTTGCAGTTATGGTTGGACTTCTATGCTTTAAATGTCTGTGTTTAAAATCGAATCGAAAAACTCCAGTTATCCAAAGCACTATCAGAACATGGAATCTACCATTCAATTATTATTTAACGGTAAAATGGGTGATCTGTAACTGACATAAGAGAAGTAAGGGCGAGGCATAGATGGCGGAAATGCTGGGTGACCCAATGACTTTCCAGCTAAAAGTGTAGAAAGAAACCCGATGGGAGAAAGAAAAGGGGGATTTGAAAAGAATAAAAAAGGGGGAAGAAAACCACATTCCCTTCTTGAAAGCGCCGGTTGGTTGGTTATTCTAATAGAAACAGCCAGATACGAAAATAAATACTTCGAGAGAATAGGCGTTCAAATTAATGTCGCCATGCCATTAAAAGAGGCAGTTAAAGGAGGAAGAAAGATGAAGAAAATAACTAAATAGAAAGATGATGCCATTTTGTATTGAAAGAGAAAATTTTTTAAAAAAAATCAATCAACTAACTCCACACTCCAAATATTTCCCAAGGGCATCATCCACCACTTCCCCTTCTTCTTGCACCATCCCCGTTCCCCTTGACGACTGCTTTCATGAATCCCATAAGAAGAGTAACTCGAGACAAGTCATCGTGGGAAAATGTGTGCTTCTATATGACGCTGGATAACATAAGACGCAACGAGAGCAAACGGGGAACTTCCTTAAACAAGAGGGGTTTGTTTTGGTTTTGGGGGGGGAGGGAAACCGAAATTCAACCTATTTTTGCTCCTGTTAGGCCTGTTGATATCTTATTTCTGGTTGGCAACGACTAGTTTCGCCACTGAACCCCGCTTGTAAACACACAAAATACTCGTAACAGCAAAGAACAGGACGGGAGCGGGAGCGGGAGCTAGAGCGAGAGCTAGAGCCATTTTGTACTAGGCTACAGGAGCAGGGGAGAGAAAAGAAGGAAGAGAGATCAAACGTATTCAAGTCATTTAGGGGGGATGCGCCTCGTTGGGAAGCCATAAGTGAGTATGACCGGTGGTGAAAATAACAACTTTACCAAGCCTAGAAGCCTAGAGGATAGAGATGATGGGTAGTGAATGAAAAACAAGAAGATTGGGAATTGCTGACAGCAAAGCGGAAGACATTTCTTAATCGTCAGAGAGAAGAAGACGAAAACCCCATTTAGGAGGAGGGAATGTGTGGAAAAATTAGGCTACTAGAAAAGAATCAGACGGGAAAAAAAAAAAAAAAAAAAAAAAAAAACCCATCAAAGCTAACCAAAAGGGAAAATGGACAAGCAACCTTGGAAAGCTTGGCCAAGCTGGCGCATGAGTTTTCTTTCGTCGAAAACGTCACATAGATAGACAGGCCATAAGATGACGAGAAAGAATGATAAACGAAAGAGAAATAGGGAAAAGCAAAAACGAAAACAGGAAGATTTACCCGGACCCTAGAACAATGATACATAGCACGCGGGATTTGGATAAGCTGAAGAGCCGAATGGATGGCATTTCGAAGTATTTGGATTGAGATGGAAGATGGCACCATTTGTGATGTGTTTTGAGATTTCGTTAAATTCTCGTCACGTTGAAAACGTCTTTCACATGGAGGTAGGAAGCTGGGACGGGGACGGGGGTATGGAGGGCGGGAACGCCGTTGGGCCTCATTATCAAAGTGAGAAAACAAGGACAGCTCTTCAGCCGCGAGCTTGGTTTCCGCGTCGGTTGTTGCGCTGTTTGCTGCTCACGGTGCTCCAGCCCTCCTCCTCAGGCTCAGCGGGGGTAGCAGGAGTAGGAGCTGGCACGTGTTCCTGCGCAGGGGCACCTCTCTGTTGCTGAGCCTTGGCATGGCCCTGGACAAAACCTCTGGGTGGCGCATGACCATGGCCCCCGCCGCGAGATCGGGCGGGACCATTTCGCCAGTTTCCGTTGGCTTTGCTTGGGGGTGCTGATTGCTGCTGTTGCTGTTGCTGTTGCTGCGGTTGTTGCTGGCGAGCCGCCGGCTCTTTGGGAATTCCAGGCTTCTCGTTAGCGGCTGGTGCCGCTGACGCTTGCTCGACTACTGTGGCTTCTTCAGTATGGCCCGTCCTGCGAAGGATCTCGATATTCTTCCCAGCCTGTGGGGCGTCTGAGCCATCCTCCTTAGCGCCATTTGCAGTGGTGATGGCACTTCCACCCTTGACTGCAGCTTCTTCCTTTGTCAGCTGCTCCTGTTCCTTTGCTGCCTTTTGTTTCTCAGCTTTCTCAGCCTTTGCTCTTTCCTCTGCTTCCTTCTTTTGTCGCAGGGCTAGCTGGCGTCTTTCCTCAACTTCACGCTCTCTGGCAGACGTATCAATGGGACGAGCCCCACCGAAGGGGCTCGCCTTGGAGTCGCCAGTTGTGGCTGTGGGGGAAGCGGGTTCAGCCTCAACTGTTCGTTTTTGTAGATTAAGCTTGGGTCGTTGGGCTGGTGCAGGAGGGGCAGCCGGGACAGCTTCAGGAGCTGGGGCGACGGATTTGGGAGCTGGGGGGTCTGGTCGCATCCTTGCTCTCCATTGGTTGTCTAGTTCAGGAGCGGTTGGCGTTCTCTCTGGGGCTGGTCGCTCATGGAACTCACGTCTGGGAGGCCTTGAGCCGTCTTGGGAGCGCGCCTCTCCCCAAGCAGGTGAGGCTTTGCGGAATCCAGGGCCGTCTTTGCTTCTTGGGCGGCCTCCTTCGCTAGCTAAAGATGCAGGGGCAGGGGAAGGGGAGAGGGGTCCCTTGCGTTCCCAATTCCCATAGTCTCTAACTTTACCGTCAGCGGGCTCAAAGGCACGTCGTCCGGTACGGTCTCCGACATCACTCATAGCGTCCTGTCCTCTCGCTCCAAAGCCCGGGCGGTCGGACACTCGTCGCTGTGAAGGAACATCTGGAAGTGGGCCTTTGCGGGACCAGTCGCTGAAATCCCTCGTCTCTTGTCTCTCTTTGGCTGCAGAAATGTTAGATGTGTTTTAAGACTTCATCGCAAGTTTTTTTTTGGGGGGGAGGGGGTGTTATTCCAATAGACATACGAGGTTCTGCGACGCTAACTCTGATATTTCTTCCCTGAAGAGAAGTTCCTTGGAATGTGAGGGCCTTCTTCAAGCCTTCAAGAGTAGCAAATTCGACGTAACCGAAGCCCTTTGGCGCCCTGGTCATTTTGTCCTCAACGATCCGAACGTTTGTCACCTGGCATTCCTTGAACAGCTCCGAAATGTCGGCTTGGGCTGCCTCGAAAGACAAATTGCCAATGTGGGCAGTGTAAGGAGGCTGAGTGGGAAGGGGAAGCTCCTCTCTGATGGCGTACCCACGGTGGTCACGTTCTTTTATGAGTGTTAGCTACAGTGTTCGCAAAAAGGAACAAATATAGAAATTTAGGCTCCATACCTATACCGCCCGTGTCGTTGCCATATCCGCTGAACGCACGTCGTTCTCCACCATAGCTAGCACGGGGTTCGGGAACTATTGACATTCAGATTCAATGCTAAAGATATATGATTGTTCTATAACGGGGTGTGTGTGGAAGAAGGGGGGTTAACGGGGATATAGAGTTTTTCTACTCTTACCGGCTAATGGGGAAGACGAGTCAGTAAAAACCAGCCAAACAAATAATTCAATCAGGAATCGCGACGTACCAGGCAAAGGGAATTCATCCATTTCATCGGCCCACGAGCCAAAATCTACCCCGTATTAGTTTGTGGTAAACCAAAGACATGCCAGGGTGAAGGGCACATACTCTCGTCGGCCAAGAAGGTCCCGACGGACATCTTTTGCGCTTTCGGTTTTGCAGGGGCTGGGAGCGAAACAGTTAGCTACAGGTAAAGCAACCATGATATCTACTACATGAAGCTCGATAGCGATGGAATGACAAGCCAGCGTGGAAATACTCACCCATGATGGCAACTTGGATGACGAAACGCGCAAAGGCGTGTGCGCGTCTCTTTTGGGAACGAAAGGGGATGGAAGATCCGAAGGTCTTTCAGCGATGATGAAAGAAGCCTGATGGGGAATCACTGAGGCAGTGATTGGGAGTGGAAAGGCTGATGTTGAGTGGTCAAAAGGGCGGCCTTGAAGGTTGAAGACACGGAGGGGAAAATTGGTTTGGATCTTTCGAAAGGATAAATTTTAGTGATGACGCTAAGGAAAAGTCAGCCTTAGTGCGTCAAGCGGCAGAGAACCGAAAAAGTAAATAAAGAGATATAAAAAAAAAATCTTGAACCGCCAAACCATGGACCCAACCACAAGGTTGTTGAAATAATGGTAGCATTCACCATTAGGAACTCTGCAAACCTGCAATCATCTCGCATACTTATCGCGGTTGCTGGTAGAAGTGATTTATTTTGATGTCTTAAAAATGAAAATATTTTAGAGATACCCTAACCACCAAAAAGTCGCCCGCTTAACTGCTTACTGCCACAAACTCACTACTAATTATTCTCCGTATCAACAGAACTACCACAAACGTGGACGCAACAATGGCTCAGCTATACATAGGTTAACGTTTTCTCTACGGGCTTCCATTGAAACCCCTTTTTTGTACCCAACTATGGAGGCCGGCAACTCTAACAGAGCCCAAAACCATCCCTTTGTGGTAGGACAACTTTGCGCCCAGAGTTAGAAAGTCATCCATCTCCCTCCGCAGGTACCTTGCACTGCCAGTGCACCGGGGAAACAGAGATCAACGTTAAACGCCAACACAAAGTCAATCCTGACTGGGAGATAGGTTCAACATTCACCCATTAACTCCATGTTGACGGAATTGACGGGCAATGGCGATGAATGGGGATTGGCGGATCATGCATAAAACAAGCCGATATATATTTGATACCCCGGGATTTGCTGGAAAAGTTGCGTTCAACCTGCTTCAATTGGGAATTACGTTAGCAGGAAGGCAACACAAAGAACAACCAGGATATTCTACAGAGCGAGACTCAAATTTGGTTTACTTCAATATATTAGTATTTCATTTCAGTTGTAATCATCAACAACAGCAACTAAAGGGAGTTTTATTTAAACTAAACTATACTAGGATTAGAACATTTTTTTATACATTCAATAATATTATAGATATTGCACTTTTATAAACTATAAATTTGTAATTATAAAATAAAAGAATTATTAATTAATTATATATTTAATAAATACATTAAGAAAAAAAAATAAAATATAAACCTTTTTATAAGATTTATTATAATAAAATATTTTTTTAAATTTTAAATTTTTAATTTTTTTTATTTGAAGTAAATATATCTTAATATTATTTTTTATAAATTTAAATTATATTTATTATTTAATTAAATCTTTAAATAATTACTTTAAATAATAAAAATGATTATATTCATAAATTTCATTAACTAAATAATTGAGATGACTATTAAATAACACTTAGAATGAGAAATCAAAAGTTGTGAGTTTAAATTCTATAGAAATATTATCTCATATCTGATGAGATAACATTTAAAAATCAAATATGTCATCTGGTTCACATCAGATGACATCTAATTGATATCTTTAGTACTACATCATTTCAACTATTCATGAGCCTTCTCCACATATAAATTGCCACTATATCTAAGTTGAAAATGATGTAATGTAAATTCAACAACCAGTTTTTCTTTAGTAACTACCTTTTTATAAGATTTTAGATATAGTTATTTATCATATAAGTATGCTTTCAACATTAGATTTTATTATATAATTAATTTATGTATTTATACATATTATTAACTTGCAATAATTAACTAACTAGTTACTGATTGTATATAAGTATAGAAAAGAAAGAAGAAAAATATTAATAAGTACTTAATATTAATAATAATTTTGATACTTGTGAATATTATATAGCAAAAATTATTTTATTAAAATTATATTTTTTTAAAAAAAAATTAATTTAATTTCAACTAATTTTAATATTCTTATATTTTATTTATTTATAATTATAATATCTGAAATATAATATTGAAACTTGAATCAATATTTAATTATATTCTCAATAAATATTTGCTAAAATAGTAGTTTTTATTTAGTTAAATTAAAAATTTAATAAACTTATAGATTATCTTTAGACTAAGTTAATATAAGTAATATATACATAAATTTACTCATGCTGATCAGCTATTAAATCTATTTTAAAGTAAAATAAAATATATATGTATATATATATATAACTTTAAAAATAAAAGAGAATTTTTTCTTTTTAAAAATATTTATCATGAGTTTTAATTTTTTTTTTTTTTTTTTTTTAAATCTCTATAGAGTTTCTAGTATTTTTTATTTTGAATTGATGGCATAATTCCATATAGCATATATAAGTTAGGAAATTGAAAATATTTAGGTTTGGCAGTTTGCTCAAGGGTTGGATTGCATACATTTAACTGTGAAAAGTGATCTCTCATTTAATAAGCAAAAGTGAAATAACTATGAAACATCATGCGGCTTTGCACCTTTGCAGCTTTGTGAATAAAGATAATATCATTATTATTTTTAAGAAAGTAACTGTGAGCTCAATTCTGTTCTCTATTTCTATAGTGTTTCTTTATTTTTTATCGTGAATTTGTGACATTCTGACTTGTCAAACAAGGTAGGTAGGTAGATAAATTCACTACGCAAACAGAGTTGATGTACCGCTCGGTTGAGAATTACTTTTAGGATTTATGTGGACCACATCTGAGTTATTATAGATGGCTGAAAGCAAGGACTAGGGCGCAAAATCTTGTATTCTGCAGTAGACTTAGGGCCATCTGGCAAGGCAAAGATGGCTTATCGCCACTGTTACTTCTCCATTAGATATGGAGCGGGGTAATGTCTATTTATAAGGGCAAGGTATCTTGTGGGGTAACAGTTATCCAGTCGGATCCTAAATCCCCTTTGTATTTGAAATTTTTGATAATCAGGCTAAAATGCCAGGAAAAGAATTGCAGTGGAAACAAAATAATTACAACCCTAATGATCTCAACACTATGCAACATGCAGACATAGACTAACTACTTAACTAGTTAGTTAAATAACTACCTAGTTACCTAGTTAACTAATCCTGTATGCTATGTCAGCAGCAACAACCCTAACTATGGCCCGCTAAGCGGGATAACCCGATTGGGGTGTTCTGAGTCACGTGCACCTTCATTTGCCTACCCAAATCCCTACTCACATCATTTGTCTCATATTATCTCATCTCTTCACCTAGGAAATCTCACTGTATCACCAGGCCAAAAAGGAGGGCTGAACAATCTTGTCCCTTCATGTATTAGGCCTTAATCTATGCCCTGCCGGATACACGCCGCATACGGCTGGCTGACATCTGGCGCAGAAGCTGAGGATGCGTGGGAAAGGTGCTCGGGATCATGAAAATGATCGTGACCAGGTGCAGAGCCCGTGGACGGCGATGCCTGCGTTGAAGGTTGGGACTTTGAGTGGTTGGTACTCTCACTTTTTTTCTTTCACTTTTATTTTATTTTATGTTTTAAATTTTAATTGTTAATTTTTTCCTTTCTTTGAGATGTGGGTTTTCTCTGTGTCCCTGCCGGGTTGATAGGATGGTTGAATTGTGACATGATATATTCTTTGGTTTTTATTCTTAGAACAAGTACGGGGTCGCTGGAAGATGCATGATATTTTATGCATGTGATCTGTTCTCCATGAATTCTTTGTTTACTATTAAATTTTCGCGTGCAATATTTTTCCAACTTCAATTCTAATATTTTCAATATACAGGTGCATTCGGACTCATCTTTGGAGGGATTACGGGCGTCTTACGCTCACCAAATCCAGCGATCCATTCGATTGCAGCTGGCATCCATTGGTTTGCTTTTGGAACCTCGACATGTTGTAAGAATGGCATTAGCTTTGTCCTGGCTTCATCTCCCTTTACTGAATTCAATCAAACCGATAGGGCTGAGGAGTAACATCCTCCGAGTGCAATTTGACGACAAACCCACTCCCGGCCAACGGGCGTTTGCAAGCTCGATTGCCAGTGGGTTATCCGGGGGAGCAATTTCGTTTTCTAGCCGTAAGTATGAATAAAATAACAAGGAGAGGATCATCGATTTCCTCTAACGTTAGATATCTGTACATCATGTAGATCGCAGGTTTGTTCCTGGAGCGGTAATTTTTGGATTGGCTGGCTTTCTGGGACAGAAGTCATACGATGTCATTAATGGATGTTGGGTATCTCAACATAAAGCTCAAACGGGCCCCCAGAAACCCCTGGCTCAGCGCCTGCTAGAGTCCAAATGGATGCTCTTGAAGCCGCTGTCGGACGGTGAGTATATTGTGATGCTCAATGAGAAGCTTCTGGCTATTGATGCTGAGATTGCGAATATTGATGGTAAGATAGAGGCACTAAGGAAGTTGGAGTCTTCGTGAGATCGATGGACGAGGATATGTATGTATGCATGTATATCTGTATTTATATATTTCTTTTTCCGTATTTTCTGCTGAGGTATGCATGTCATGACTCAAGCTGGAGAGAGGTGTAGGATATTTTAGAAGTGTGATTGGGCGGTTTCTAGTTTTCCGATAAAATTGCTTGACCTGTTGCAGCATGAAAAAGAGGGAACTAAAGAAATAGCAACGTAAGCGATCACCTACATACCGGAACACCTACCTATATTTAAAAAAAAAATAAAATAAATAAAATAAAAATAAAAATAAAATAAAATAAAATAAAATTAAAATTAAGCAACAATTATATGGAATTACTCATAGAAAATTATATACATTATTCTTTAACCCTATGGGCATGCAGCGGCTCTATGTCCTGTATTACCACATTTACTTCAGCGTGCTGGTGCTCACTTAGTAGATTGATTTGAATCCTTCACTACCCTCTTCACAGCTTGTTGAGCAGTTTGAGCCCCTAGTAAATCCTTCCCCTGCTGTTAGTATACCCTCCTAAGC